ATAGGATTGGGTTGGATTGGATGACATAATGCAGGTAAGAAGATTGTCACACAGTAGGTGCTCAATAAATTGTGGCAACTATTGCTAGCTGAAGAGATACTCCTTTCTCTTTCAGGCTCCTTCCACCTCAAACTACATGAAGCATTCTGGTCTTATAGTTTGGGGACTTTCCCTGCATCCCTGACAAGGTTCTCACGAATAATCATCAACAGCAGCAAAACCAGCAAGATCTGTTTTAATTTTGGATTCTGAGACACTGCTTCTGGTTTCTGCAGCTGGCTGTCCAGAGCGGCCTGGGACACCCTGAGGGCAGCTGCCTGGAATGTCCTTTGCTCACACAGTTTGGACCCAGGCACAGGTCATGTTTCCCCCACTGAAGAGCACTGAGGACTCCTCAAACAGCTGCAAGGGAAAGAGTTCCTGTAAAAATTCCTATCAATGTCTTCAGCTAGACATTATGGTACATCAAAACCTCAACTCCCAGCAATGAATCAACCCCTTAGGGTCCCAGTGACAGAAACCAGATGGCAGCTCAAAAATGCAGGCAGGGTGTCTACGGCCTCAGGTTGTTTAGTGCTTACGAGCACTTCTGTGAGCAGCACTGAAAATTCTACTGGACGCATGCTGAGAAATTTACTAGGGAATGATAAACTTGGAATATAGAATGGTGGTGGTGACAGGGTATGAAGGAGCGGAAGAAAGGAATGTGCCAGGAAGGCACCCAACAGGCAGCCACTAATGGTATCAATAATCACCTTTTAAAATGCTAGGTGGTCATTGTACAAAAATGAAGGGTGAGATAATGAATATATTAAAAAATTAAAAACTTACAAAAAAGCACTTGGCATTGTGCCACACAAACCAAACTAAAATAAAATAAAATGCTAGGTGGTAGGTATGTGATTATCTGTTTTATGTTTGTGTATGCTTATACATACAATGGGGAGACAGGGAACAGAAGAAGCAATCCCAACTTCAGAAAAGAATTGACCTCTATTGCCTCTCCCAGAGGCTGGACTGGAGTAGGTACAGATGTCTGTGCTGAATGGACAGGTGGATGGGTGAGCCTCTTATGCTGTTCCAGGTCTCCCCTTCTTTATCTTTGATCCCACCTCTGCTGCATTTTTTTTTTTTTTTGGCAAAGGGTAGGACATTGGGCAGAAAGGCTTCTGGGAACATTTGTTTCGACCCTGGTCTAGGACATGATACTTTAGCCCAGCACACAGATGGCGAGATCACTTAGCCTTGCTCGATCTCCTCAGATGCCCTTGCACAGTCTCAATGACACCGACCTGCTGCCAGAAGCTTGGCACTTACTCTTCTGGTTGGGTCCTGCCTGCCAAACTCGTTCCTTCAGTGGCTGGCTTTCCTGATTATCCGAGAGGCGGCTAGAAGTGCTAACGCTCTCTTCTCCTAGCCAAAGGGAGATCTGGGGTCTTTACTCTCAAGATGTAAACAAGTGAGGCATCAGGGGCACAGCTGCTGGCCCAGCTTGCTAAGCACTGGCTCCCAGCTGGACAGACTTGACAGGATCCTGCTCTGCTGCCTGCCACAGCTGCTCGCTTCCCAGGAGGGAGTACGGAGGTGGTGGGGTCTGCTTGTGTGAACAGACATGGAGGAGAGGCTGCCTGCTCACCTTATTGAAACAAATGATCCCTGGACCTGCCTAACTCTGCCAGAATGTGGGAAGCCAAAAGGCAAAGCTATGTTTATGAAAGTGTAGCTGAAAAAGGCAGTCTGGTGAGCATGGAACTGCTCACTATCCCAGCACATTCCCTTCCTAGTTAAAAGTCTGATGCAGTGACTGTGAAGGGCTAGACAGAGTGCTGGACTTCACAGTTGCCTGAAAGACCTCATTGAATTTTAGCAGCAGTATGGCATAGGCACTAGCCAAAGAAAAGGAAGTAGGGTGTTAGTCTGGATATCTCAGCTGCTCCTGGTCTTCACCCTTTGATTGTTGGGTGGTTGGATCTGGGAAGGCCCTGAAGAAGGGGCCAGGGAACAGGAGGTGGAGGAGGCCTTGGGGGAACTTAGAACATCAACTATCCACTGATAGGCCTATCAGTGCAAGCCTATTTCAATATATTAATGAGTGGTGTGGCCACACTTCTGCTGGAAGTCAGGGCCACGTGCCAGCTCTGCTCCCCAACACAAGAAAGGTGGATTTGATTCTCATTCTTGAGAGGCATCCGAATCACCTCAGACCTTGTTGGGAAGTGCCCAATTTCTATCTTAAAACTACTGAATAACACTCTCTAGTGTTAGGCTAGACTTACTTTGCTTGTGAGGTCCAAGTGCCCAGGATCAGCTGATCTCTAAAAATCCAGCTCTAACTTTCAAGGGGTGAGTGATTCAGAGGTGAAGTCCAGCGTGCCATCTCTAGGGCCACATACCCAGCTCAGGTGCTCACAGCCTACCCTCAGCACCTTTTCTAGCATTTCTCAATCTCAGTTGAGGCTGTGAGAGCTCACAGGATGGAATGTTTAGCTTCAGATTCTACCTGGGATCCAAGGAATGCTCCACAAGGAGTGGGTTCTTAAAAACACAAGAGAACTGGCCTTGACTGCTACCTTTAAACCCAGTGAATAAGCACTTATTCCCATGCCTGGAACACTCTTTCTCTCACTCCTTTGCCCAATGGACAATCTTACTTGTCCTTCAGGACTAGCTTACACTGTGTTCAGATTGGGCTATTCTGGTCTTCTATTAGCACCACAGTCTTAGGCATGTTAGGAAACTTTCTCTTTTGAAACTTTTGAAAGGCTGCTTCCTTAGAAACATTTAAGTCTATACACCATATAAAAGAACAATAACAAAAAGCAAACCAAACCAGAAACAACAAATGTTGGCAAGGCTGTGGAGTCAAAGGAAATCTCATATACTGTTGGTGGAAAAGCAGACTCCTCTAGCCCTATGGAAAACCATGTGAAGGCTACTCAGAATATTAAAAGTAGATAAAGCAAGTGTCCCAGCAATTCCACTCCTAGGTATCTATACCAAGGATGCACTCCTGTGTTCACTGCAGCACTGTTTGCAATAGGCATGTTATTGAGACAAGGGCACCCCAGAGATGCAAGGTGCTCAACGAAAAGTCACTCTATAGACAGCAGAGAGAGCACTGAAGGGAAGAATTTCTGGTTCATGGCTATCTCTTTAACACTTAAGCAACCTGTTGTTAGCAGCAACAGTTAAAAATTAACTCGTCCCATTGAGGCACAGACTAAATGCTTGGTTGACTACTGAAGTCATCTATCTGCCACTCTGTGTAGGCCGGATTGCTAAACTCGAGTGCTTTTTTTTTTTTTTGGTAAAGAGGAAGATGATGTACTCATATTTTCATGTCATATAAGACTCCCTGTCTTATTTCTCCATCTGGGTTACATTCACTTCAATGAGGCATTGGGTGCGAGTCTTTGGAGTAGACTTGGATCCATAACTCACAGAAATACTAGAATGATGTTATCACGCTGTCCTAAAGGTCTGATGGACAGTATTCCTTGACAGGGTTGGGGCTGTTAATGTTTTATCAAGGTCTGGAAAGTCTTTGGCCAAATGTGTAGATGGGTATGTAAAAGATACATGTCTTTAATCTTAAGATCTTCAACAATTATCCAGGGGAAAAGTCTAATTAGACCTCCTTTTTTTTATGGCACCTAACCTTAGTAGCAAATGGCATTTATGCATTAAGTGCCCACATGGATGGGTATGCAATAAATGTTAGATCACAACAATTAAGTTTAATGAGAATTAATGGGCCATTTTACAGCATCACCTTGCATCTCTGGGATGCCCTTTAACCCTACTTTACAAGACTTTGGCTACTCCTGCTTACTTCAGCCCATTTTAGTGCAGTCACCTAGTCATGCAGACTCTGTCTGCTTTTTCCCACCTGCTAGGAATGTCAAGGCAACTCCCTCCCGTTTTATTATCCTTCTTGCTACCTTTCCTAGTCCTTATCACCTCTCTCCTTTCCCTTTGCCATCTTCACCCTCTTGTTTTCCCTTCCAACCTTTCTTGTCCAGTCCTTTTTACAGTTTTCTCTAGGAGATGCACCCTAGAAAGAGACTACCATGGACTGGAATCTCCTCACTGCCATTGTTGCTTTATCTAAACTACAACCTGGTGAAGCAGCAGCTAGCTAGTTGATCTCAAAGAAGAAAAATTCAGAGAAAGAATGTCGCAGTGCATACTCATGGTCTAAACCCAAAGCCCTATATAAACTTATTTTTAAGCATGCTGTATTTTTTGGGGAAGTCAGACTTACAGAGCCCATATGAATCAACTGCATCCATGATAGCATGCAGGGCACTGATCATAGCTACAGACTTCCTGCTTATCAATCATGTAGGATTATATGTGGGAAAACAGATCAAGAAAATTAAAGTATGATATTATTTTGATATTAGGAAGTCAGCCTTTTCTCTGATCTTTTTGTTTGCAGCAAACTTAGAACACTGACTCCCTTTGATTTTAGAGGGCTCTTAGGCATTCAAAGAGTCCATCTCATACCCTTCACAGAAACTGTCCCTTTGCATCAAGACTGTGACTCCATGTAGGGTAAAAGATATGGTGACTACTAGCAACTACTATCTAGACTCCAGAAGACAGCTCTAAAGCTGTTCTAAAGCTCATTAAGAATATTCAGATGAGGGCAGAGAAGCTATGCCAATATTACCACTCTTGGACACCTCTAGTTGAGGTCCCTTGTTGGACATCACAGACATTCTACACAGAATGCATGCAGGGACAAGAGCCACATACTCCATGCTGGGAAAAGAGTGGGCAGGATGGGCCCCAACTACTTGGTCTGAGTTGTGGCCTTGTTGCCTCAAGTCATTATGTTTGAGGCCACCTGCTCCATCCTTCCACCCAAGGCTGGGTTCCCTGTTCCCATCTTTTCTTTCCTGGAGGTAAAACAAGCAGACCAGGGCCCAGCTTGAGTGCCCAAAGAATGGCAGGGCACCTGCAGTAGAGGCAGACTGTATTTAAATGTAATTCACCTCTTTGGGGTCTAGGAAAAGCCACCTGTAGATTCATTTAGTGGGAAACATGGTCTGTGTGGCTGAGGCAGTGGACACCGGGGTCATGGTTTTGCCAAAAGTCGTCTTCCTGCGGAGGTCTGTCTGCTGTCCCGAGTGGCAGCCACTTCGGTGGGCAAATAGGATTGTCATCTCTGGGCCCAAGGGGGCTGCTTCAGGCTGGGACCCCTTAGGGGTGGCTGGCTGTTCAGGTTTTCCGGAGCTGGGGTGGGCGGTGCTGTGTTTGACAGGAGGAGGGCTGTAATTCTGAAATCTCACAGTTTTGACTTGCTGCAAGAGAAAGGAGAGCAAAGGGACATAGATGAGGAGGGAGACGAGGAATTTCATTCATGTTGTCTTGCTTCACTTTATTTGAAGTACCTCATTTATGTGTTCATTTGGCAAATACTCTGTTTACTATGAGTGCTGATTGTGCTTCACACACGTGTTAGGTGGGGTCTAACTCACATGAGTGAATGAACACAGCTTCTCTGAAAAAATAGACAACTATCACAAGCATTAGGAGGAAGGAAGTAGAAGATGCTGAAAGAGGGCCTTCACTTGTGGCACAATGGGTTAAAGTATAGCACTATGAAGCCAGCTGCAGCTGCTTCAGCATGAGTTTGATACCCACCAGGAAGGTGACCCACATGGCATGGCAGATATCTCCTGTCTCACACACTGCTCTTTGCAGTGGTGTACTTCGTTGATCCGCCTGTCCTGCTCCCACTCTTCTGGTGAATCCTCTTACCTCCCCTGCACCTCCAGCCTGCACCCCTAATTCTGTGTGCATAAATGAATGCAAAAAAAAAAAAAAGAAGAAGATGCTGAAAGAAAGGAGAGGAATAGCTGACTGAAGTTAGCAGAGGGCAAGTCAGAGAAATTGTCCCTGAGACAGAAACATTTTTTTTAAAAAGATTTATTTATTTGTGCATACAGAACTGGGGTACAGGCCAGAGGCTCAGGGGCAGCGAGAGGCTTCACCAGAGACAGAGTGGGGAACAGAACAGGCAGATCGATGAAGTACACTGCTAAGGGGAGCAGAGGGTGGGTCAGGAGAGGTCTGCCACACCATGTGGTCACCTCCGGGGCAGGCGGGAATTGAACTCATGTGGAAGCGGCTTTAGATTCTCAGTGCTGTGCTTCAACCCGCTGCGCCACCAGGGAGGGCCGAGACAGAAACATTTTAATTGAGAAGTGGTGGATGTGCTGTGGGAATATACATCTGGAGAGGTGTTAGCACATTCCTCTGTATCATACAGTGTTATAAACAAATGTTACTTTTAGAAAAATAGAAAGAAAGAGAGAATTGAAGAACAGTTAGGAATTTTGTAGGAGAACTATAGTAGCAATCACCAGAGAAAAGGTGTGAGGCAAGATGTAAGACCCCTTCCAGAAAGGAAGCTGCCTTCTTTCTTTCCTCTCTGCCTACCATCAAGCACCACTAATTCTTCTCTGTGGCCATCCCTGATGACTCTCCCAAGAGAGTTCCATTGTGGATTTATTAGTCCTTAGGGCAGAGTTTGCACCTGTTGACTGAGTGTATTCTGTAGAATGTTCGAGAAATTAATTTAATTGCCAACACATACAGATTGGAGACTGCATGTAAAAATCTTAACTTTGCATGTCACTTTTTAAAAAAGATGTATTTTTATTCAGGCATACAAGAGCCTGGGTGTAGGTCTGAGGTGCAGGGGTGAGAGGATTCACCAGAGACAGAGTGGGGAGCAGAACAGGCGGATCTACTAAAATAGTGGTTGAGACAGGTGAGGTCTGCTGTGCCATGAGGGTCAGTCAGCTCCCTGGCTGGGATAAAACTTATTCTACAGTGGCTGGTGATAGCTTCATAGCTGAAACTTTAACCCCAGCACCATCAGGAAGGCACCCTGGGTCTGCACCTGGCAACAAATGGCTGGAGCTGACTGACTACAGCTTTTTGTGAGAGGCCAGTGTCTTGGCTCCCAAGCTCCTGCTCTTCCTACTTCCTAGCACCAGTATGTGTCTGCTTTGGGCTCCCTACCCTTGGGTCTATAAAGTATGCTACTGTACTACTGCTTAGGAGTCATTTCTTTTTTCAATGAAATTTGGTCCTAAAGTCCCTAGTGAGAAGCCAAGTGTCTTCATATTTTTGACCTTCATCATTATCTAGTAAGATCTAGGCACTTATTAAACACAATTTGAGTGCTGTGTATAGTGACTTGGGGAAATGGACACCTGGGACCTGAAAAACTAAATCATTTGAACACTAATTCAGAAAAAGAGCTCCAACATTTATGTCAGCCAATACTAATTTTTCCAATGCATACTTAACTTAGCCTTAAGAGCTCGAGTTTTGGTATTAGATCTGGATTTTATTCTAGATACACCTGAGTGTCCCGAGTGTCAAGACAGCTGTGTGCCCTGGGGTAATGTACTTTAACTCCTGGAGCCTCCATTGTTTAAATCTTAAAGTGTAAATGAAAAGAACAGGGCTTTTATTTTTAGTATTAAATGAGATGGTATGGGGAGAGGTAGCACAGTGCATATCATGTCATTTGAATTTAGAAAATGATGAATAAAGAGGAGGAAGCATGAAAAGGTGATAATAGTGCTGGTCATGGTGGAGGAGGTGGGGTCATAGTGGTGGTAATGATAGGCATGGTGGTGGGGATGGAGGTGAAGATGGTGGTGGTGGTGGTGATGATGGTGGAGGTGATGATGGTGGTGGTGTTAGTAGTCATAATGGTGATGGTGATGGTGACAGTGTTGATAGTGATGGTGGGGTGATATGGTGTTCAATAAAGTAAAAGATAATAAACATCACCTGATTTTGTTAATATTAACTACTTCCTCCCACCATCACTATTACTTGTACAAAAACTCATGTCCAGGAAAAGCCCTGGGCTAAAAGTTAATGGAATGGCCCTCTGCCATAGAAGTCTTAATAACCGTTAATTGTTGGAATCATTAAAACTCATTGTGACCTTGAGAAGTCACTGAAATTCTGTGTCTGTGCCTCATTTGTGGATAATTATGCGTGGAGTCTGACGTCAGCATTTGCACATCTTACTTCATTCAATCTCTCCTCTAAGTCTATGGGGCTGTTCCTATTACCACCATTTTAGAAATTAGACAAAAAAGAGTCTCAGAAAAGTGAAGTGTCTTGACTAAGTGACCAGCTATGAAGCAGAGCTGGAGCGTAAAGTGAGGTTTTCTGATGCCCGAGTCATGTTTTTTCCAAGTCACCTTTAGCCATCAAAGGAAGGATGTGTAAAATGGAAGCATAAAAGAGATTCAGCAACTGTAGTGAGGGTGTGAATGGTGTGAAGATGTGGTCTGGGTGCTGTGGACAAGGATTCTTTTGAGGTTGTGATTTTGATTTCTTGTCCACTAAAAAAAAACCTCAGAAGCTAGGACATTGTACAGTTAGTGGATCTAAAGAGAGTCAGCCCTCACCTGGAATGTCACCTGCCAACCTTTTCTTTCTTTCTTTCTTTTAATTTTTTTTAAAAGATTTATTCATTTATGCATACAGAACTGGGGTACAGGCCAGAGGTGTGTGTGTGTGTGTGTGAGAGGATTCATCAGAGTCAGAGCGGGGAGCAGAACAGGCAGATCAATGAAATACACTGCTGAGGGGAGCAGCGGGCAAGACAGGAGAGGTCTGCTGAGCCATGTGGGTCACTTCCAGGGCTGGGGATCAAAATCTCACTGAAGCTTACAGTACTGCATCCTAACCCGTTGTGCCACCAGGGAGGGCCATGCCTACCTTTTCAGTGCCATTTCTTGAGTTTTCTGGTTTCACCAGGATGGACGGTGGGGCTGACGCAGGTGGTTTTGGCAGAGGCTCACTCTTGACGGGGATTTCCTTGCTTTCCATGATGAGGGAACTGGCAGCCGAGTGGATCCTGGAGTCGCTGGCCCTACTGACACATGTGAGGGCAGGGTCCCCAGAGGGAGCAGGCTTGGGTCCCATCTCTGTAACCACTGCTGAGGGTGAGGATGGCTGGTAGTACTGGAACTGCTGAGGTCGAACGACCATGGTAGGGCTGCGTCGGAGGGAGCCCACCATGAGAGTGGGAATCCCTGACTGGACAGGCCTCTGCAGGGAGCCATCTGGGGGTTAAATGACAGAGACATTAATGACAGGGCCACTGACAGCAGGCTGGTTGGGCTGGGTGAGCAGTGTGCTTTGCTGTCCCCAAATAGTTGAGTGCTCTCTCAATGTGGCTGCACTGCACTCAGGCTCTCAGGGTTTTTCTGACCTTACTCTTTTTCAGTGCTGTTTGATGGTGTGGGCAGCAAATATCTGGCAACTAGACGAATGTTGGGGGTAGCTGGGTGTCAGAAGGGATATTACTTCCACTTGCCTCTCTCTCCTCTCTTTCCTTGTGTCTCTCTCTTCCTCCCTTCCTCTTATCAGGTCTTAAGATGGAAAGTACAGAAGATGGACCTAAAGTGACAGTCACAAGCAAAGGTAGAGGCCTGAAGAGCAAAGAGGAGACAAAAGCAGACAGAAGGTCAGACCACAGACACTGAGAACACAAGAGTAGACAAGTGGCAGGGATGAGGTGGAGACAGGGAAGGTGTGAGAGGACCCTGTGCAGCCACTTGAAGAAAATTCTACAGAAGCTAAATTTAGGCCTGAGGTGGCAGCATCGCTTTGTGTTGGGGCTGCAGGGAGGAGAGGTAGGTGGGATGAAGAGGTGTGCTAAGTGAAATCAGACATAAGCAAACTGGGAGACGTGATTCTGGAGTTAGACTGCATGTGGGTGAACCTCGTAAAGTCTCATGACACAGGCCTGGGAAGGAGACTTATTCCTAGGTAACCCAGCACAAGTCAGTGACATCACCCCTGTGCCTCAGTCCCTTCATTTGCAAACTGGAGTTACTACCAGCACTTGACAGCCTGGTGTGAGGCTTCCATTTTATGGTATGTACAGATTACTAGGTTAGTGCCTGGAACATAACTGACACCCTTATTTGTGGACACCATTATTTTTGGGTCAAGGATAACAATCCTTAAAATGCAAGGCCTAGAGGTTAAAGCACAGCACTGAGAAGCTAAAGCCACTTCCGCATGAGTTGGATTCCCACCTGCCCCGGAGGTGACCACATGGCACAGCAGACCTCTTCTGACCCGCCCGCTGCTCCCCTTAGCAGTGTACTTCGTCGATCTGCCTGTTCTGCTCCCCATTCTGTCACTGGTGAATCCTCTCGCCGCCCCTGAGCCTCTATCCTGTACCCCAGTTCTGTATGCACAAATAAATCTTAAAAAAAAAAAATGCAAGGCCTAGAAATTAGGTTTATGGCCATTCTTGGAGCTCATTTCTGCCCCCCCCCCAACTTCCTGTTAACTTAGAGAGCATTCCCCAGCATAAGGAAGCCATTTCTTCCCCTCAGAAGAGTTATGCTTTTGGGGTAGGGCCTGTGTGACTAGGGAATAGAGGGGCTCTTTGCACTTTGGGAGGGAAGGAGAGACACGTTAAGCAGCACTGCAGGCGTTTTTCCTTAAGGGTGACATCCAGTGGGAGGTGCTTTGTGACACTGTGGACACGTGTGTGAAGCGGTCACTTGTGTCCAGCGCAGAGGGCCAAGCCCTGGCTGTGCTCTGAGTCGTGACTCTTCCTCAAGCAGCTGTGAACATGAAAGGCAGAAAGCTTGCTAGACGTAGTCGGTGTTCTCAGCTGCTGCCAGCAAGCCAGCTACCGTTTACACAAGTCTGACCTTTCAATGTAGACATTTATTTTCCCACTGACAGCCCTGTAAGATGTACACAGTCAATTCTCCTGTCATTTTTCCTCGCCTTGGGGAGATTGATAGCTTGACCGGCCTCACCTTGGAAAAGGGAGAGACAGAAAGCCTGGGACCTGGGAAAGTCAAAGCAGCACCAGACAGATGTGTCCTCAGGCTCCCAGAACTGGGTGAAGAATCAGTTTCATGCTTTATCTATTCATCTTGTTGGTTCCTAACTTCTGAGAGACTTAACCCTTTCTTAGTGCCTGTGCACAGAGAGCAAGCAGTCAAAGCCCCAAGCCCATCAAAAGTTACCAAAAGGCAGAGAAGGAGCGTGAAGGGCAAGACGAGCATCTGCCAGTGGGATATGCATCTTGGCAGTATTGGGTGGTCCCAGCTGACTGGAGCTTAAGCTCTGGAAGCAGCAGAGGTGATCTGCTTAGCTGTAGTGGTAATGACAATACTGATAAAACAATATTATAAAGTGGCTAATATATTTGAAGAGCTTAGTATGTTCCAGGCACTGTGCCATTGTCTTTTTTTTTTTTTAATTTACTTATGCATATAAGAACAGGGGTATAGGCCAGAGGTGCAGTGGGGTGAGAGGATTCACCACAGAGTGGGGAGCAGAACAGGCAGATGCACTGAAATATACAGTTGAGGGGAGCAGTGAAAGAGACAGGAGAGGTCTGCTACTCCATGTGGGTCAGCTCCCCGGCCCGCAGATCAAACTTGTGCTGCAGTGTCTGCCGATAGCTTCATAATGCTGAGACTTAACCTCTTGCGCCACTAGGGAGGCCCTGTACCATTGTCTTATATGGATTATTTTATTAAATGACTAAAAAAATTAAAAAAATTAATTTATTTATGCATACAGAACTGGGGTACAGGCCAGAGGTGCAAGTGCGGTGAAAGGATTCACCAGAGACAGAGTGGGGAGCAGAACAGGCAGACTGATGAAGTACACTGCTGAGGGGGGAGCAGGCCGGCCAGGAGAGGTCTGTCGTGCCATTTAGATCACCTCTGGGGTGGGTAGGGATTGAACTCATGCTGAAGTGGCTTTAGCGTCTTAGTGCTGTGCTTTAACTCACTGTGCCACCAGGGAGGGCCCTGACACTATTTTTCTAATTTCCATTTTATGAATGTGAAACCAAAGACTGAAGAGGTCAGTTACTTGCCAGGAGGTGGTTGTGGTGAGATTATTTATTTTGTGTGTGTTGAGGTGGGGGTGGGGAAGGTACAGAGGGTGCAGGAGGGAGGCACCTCAGACAGAATATTGAGGGAAAGCATGGTCAAGCAGCTGGTCAGAGTAGGGCACTGAGAAAGAGTGGAGCTTTGACACGCGCTTTAATTTTGGGGGGACACTTTTCTGAATTGATATTGTCCTACATTTTACACTGATAATGCATTTTCCTATTTAATCATGTTTTAAAAGCTAGAAAGAGAGAATCCAGAGCTTAATTTAAATAAGGGGGCATAGAATAAGTCAAAATCACTTTGTCTGCCTTGTGTATAGAGAATATTAGGACCTTATTTTTTGTACAACAATGGACTTTGGACATTCCAGAGCCCCGACAATGAATCATACATAGACGTTAAATATGTAAGGAAGTAAAAGCATGGCTTTTAAGAGGAAGGCACCACATGATTGCCACATATGGAATACAGACGATATAGAGGCAAACTAAGACAAAACAAGGTGCCGAACTGTGCTGGGAATGGAATTAAAGGCATATGAAAAATGGATGAGAACTTGGGACTGGAGGTTAAGGATATGAAAGAGGCTTTTGCATTTTTGGACAATGAAATTTCTTTTTTTTTTTTTTTGACTATGTTAAACATTACTTAAATAACAAAGTGGGGTTCAGGAATCCTATTGCTCCCGGGGCCCTATTTAACTCCCTCCATACTCCCCTTGTTTCCCTCTCCAACGGGGCCCCTGAATCCTAGTTTGAGAAACACTGATTTTGGATGGCTCTGACTTAGTAAGAGACTGCTCCCGCCTTGGTCCGGCTTTGATTGCTTCTTGGCAGTCGGGGTTGCGGTCACCCCAGGCATTCAGTGTGTAAGAATGAAGCGACTGAGGGCAATGACCTTGACGTTGTTCGGGCTTCATTCAATCAATAGCTCAGGGTTTCAGGACGGTAAGCACCCTTTCTCCGATGCATGCTTTAAAGCTGAGGTCCTTGTTTTGGAGAGAGCACACTACCTGGGGTCCGACCGCCTCACGACTTAGCTCTGGGCACCCACCTCTCGCGTCCACTTACTCTTTCTCATGCTGCTCCGCCCTTTCCGGAGGGAGCCCTGTCCCAGCCCAGCCAGGCCGGAGCTGTTCCGCACAGGGTTCACGATGGCGGTGGGCACGAAGACTGACGTGAAGGGGCGGCTCTGCCGAGGGTCACTTTCTGAAAAACTGCCCTGAGACGACACAGAGGAGGTGGAGAGCGTCCATGTGGCATAGAGACCAGGACTCCGGGAATCTGGAAAACTAGATGTTTTTCTGTTTGTGGGAAATTTTTTGAAAAGAGAAGAAACAGAAAAAACCTTCAGCTGAGAGCCTTATTTTAAAGGCTTAACAGTAAAGCGAACAGAAAGGATTTTTGGTGGTGAAGGTGAGGTGATGTACAACTATTTCTAACACTGCGTACCCGAAGTTTGCATGTTAGAATCTAACATTACTTCAATAAAAAATTAATTCTGGGGCCTCCCTGGTGGTGCAGGGGTAAAGACAGAGCTCTATGCAGCGAGCATCAGCCACTGATTCCCAGCCAGGGCAGTGACCCACATGGTACACAGACCTCTCCTATCTTACCCACTACTCCCCCCAGCAGTGTGTTTCAGTAGATCTGACTGTTCTGTTCCCCACTCTGTCTCTTACCCCTCCCACCTCTAGCCTGTGTCCCAGTTCTTGTATGCATAAATTAATAAAAATAAATCTTTAAAAAATGCAAAAAAAAGGGCATTATTTTGGAAATTTGTCAGCTCCTAACTAGAGAAAAAATGTGGTCCCCCTTACCCTCTTCTTACTGACTGTGTTCTTTGTCAGTCCTAATAATTGTTGCCTCAAAATCAGGCCATGGGGGAACAAGGAGAACTTGTATTTCATTCCTTTCACCCCGGCTCTGGTCACCCCTCACCCCATGACCCTAAACTTTGAACATAAGATCTTAGCCAGAGCACAATATAACAGAGCACAGGTAGTTCATCTCACAGGTAGTTCATCTCACTTTGCAGAAGTGATCTCTAGTTTGTTCAGTGACTTTCCTACTGGTTTCTAACCTTTTTAAAGGCATATATTTTATGTAACCTATTTTATAACCTCAGTGTTCTCTTTTACAATATGTGTGGGTTGAAAGGCTGCCAGTCCTTTTGGCTAATACATATTGAGCACCTACTGTATACCAGGCATTGCCCTAGGGCTTTGCCCACATTATCTCCTGGGTTCTTTGCAACCTTTTCTGGAAGGTATTATCAGTGCCATCTTTCTATACATTAAAATCTTGGGACTTGCAGTTACTTGCCTTTGTAACTACTACAGCTGAGATTTGAACCCAGGTCCCAGCTGATCATCTGCCCTTATCACTGAGCTATACTTCCTTCTGTGTAGTGAGAGCTTCATCACTTAGTGGCATTACAGGATGGTGTACACGCCTTCTCCTTAAGACCCTGATTCTTCAGACATGGGCTTTGTTTTTTAAGACTAGTATGAAAGTTTTATAAAACAACAATCCCTTCTCCATTGTTGCTAGCCTGCCCAGCCTGAGCTCCAGGGGAAGGGCTGTCACTCCAATGCCTTTCCATTTCTATGCCATCTTACCAATCCCAACTCAACATCACAGACCCAGCTGAGCAGCTCATCAATCACCCTGTCATTCTTTTCATTAAATAGCTGTGCAAATTCCCTGGGAAGAACCAGCTCAACCAAGGACCTGCACAGAGATGTTCTCTCTTGAGGATTCCTTGCCATCAATGCCTCCAGGTTTCTCGTTAGGTAATTTCCTCATTATTTCTCCCTTTCTCTTTTTTTTGCTTTAAAAAGTGACAGGCAGTAAATTATGAATGAGTTAGTACTGTATGGAGTTAGGCAACATTTCATGTGACCAGCCCTGCCCAGGAGGAATTTCCAGCCAATGTCCCAGAACAGATCATTTACAGCAAGGGGACTGTCAACCTGCCTCTCAATTGTAGTGAGATGTGGCCGGAGAAGGGGAGATATTCTCCTTCAGTGAGATCTTAGCTCACATCTCTGAACATGAGGGCTGGGCAATGGAATGAAATCCCCACACTGGTTGTCACAGCTAAGAGCACATTTGCCTGTCTTTTGAACAGAGGCCTCAAGGTGCTGGATGTTGCAAAGTGGACTGGTCAGAGAGAAGCCGGGTCCGAACTCGTTTCTGGTGGCAGCAGGACAGAATGCAGTCAACTAGGCCTTGGTTAGTTTTATCTTACTTGTCCCTTCTCCAAATGACTATTTATAGTCCACGATATGACTTCATTTTTTTGACTAAGAACTGAGTGGGATTCCAGAAAACTCCTAAATCCCAAGACCCCATCACAGGTCCCTTTATGTCTTTTGGCAAAAATTTTTGCACATAACTTGCACTTTCTTCTTACATCAAAGCATTTTGCAAACATACGTTAATTCCCATGACACCCAGATCTGCACACATTGTGTCCTTGTTTTTCAGACAGGGACACTGACAGATGTTCTGGATGGAAGTGGGAGGGTACGTGTTGCCTCTGGTTTGCTCTGGACCTTCCCTGTGTGTTGAAGGTACCTGGATCACCTTTTCTATCAGTGATAGAAGTTTCTTGAGAACTTGTCCGATATTCTAAGGGGTGTTCCAAGCAGCATTCTATTGTGCTCACCACTGTCAGAGGCCTCTGGGAAGCAGGGAGTTTGGACCTTGACAATCTTCATACTGTTCTATGTGGGGAGGTAAAGGAAAGTGAGTCGTGGTCCAATTGTCTGTTTTCTCTATGACGAGGTACCAGGAGGGCCTGCATGTCTGGTGAAGTTTGCGAGAAAGAGAAATATCCTGGATAACTGGGCAGAAGGGAAGTTATTTGGAGCATGGGGATGGGGTGGTGTGAAAAGGGCCTGGAAACAGGATCCAGAGAGGCTCAGAGAGCTGGAGATTCTGCTCAGATGCTGCTGTTACTGCTGACTTAACTTTGACCCTTTTTGTTCCTTTATTTACATTTCCAAGGTCTAAGAGGGAGTGTCAGATTGACTGAACCTGACTTTGAGCTGTGTGATGGGTGAAGGAGGAGGGGGAAGAGAAAAAGTTAGTTTTCTAGCCTCTGAAAAAGGAGGAAACTCTGCCTCCCACCAAGACTGTATGTGAATGAGGAAACTCAAAGGGGTTTGGGTGAAAATGTGACAACTCTAAATACTGAGGATATGTGGGGAAATTTTTGGAGCAGGGGTTGGCTGTGGTCAGTAGAGAGGCTGGTGTCACAGTCTGGCCTAGAGGGCTGGGCCACTGAAGAGCACTGTAACTTTTTTCTCTCGGTAATTCAAAGATTCCTTCATTGGACTTTAAACCAAAACGTCGGCATTTTCAACTTTGGTCTGTAATTAATTGTCCAACTCTGCTCGTTTGGGAATGATGCCAATGATAACCAAAATTGACATGCTCTGTGGAACTCGCATTTCTGAGCTCTGGCTTTTTTATAGAAGGCTGAACTGTGCACCAAGGAGGCTGACGGCCATGTAGAGCCCTCACTACAAATGAAACAAAGATGAGGGAATGAAGGGAGAGCCTGATACACACAGAATTAATGAGCAAAGAGGGCCTTGCCCACAAAGGCCAGCCCACTCAGTTCTAACACCTGCTATGTATAGTAGACACTCACTGGCAAAGGACGGCATCATTGAGGTCTGAGAAGCAGGAGGATCTACACTTCCCACAGTGGAAAGGGTGGTTAAGAATAAGGGCTAGCTGCCCCCACACTGAAAAATTGAGCATAAGTCCTCCACATCCATATTGGTGTGGATGGAAGCTTTCTCTGCAGGAGGGAAGCCTTTCAGGAAAACTCACACAGACAGCATTGATTCTCTCCTAGTGGCCCTCAGGATAATATACTGACAGGGACTTACTTTTTCTTCTTGGACATGCTGTTTCCCTAGAAGCAAAACAGCTTCTAGGGAATGCAAGTAGCATCTCAATGTAAGCAGATGTTCAGATTTCAGTTGGGAGGGGGAGTAGTAGGTGGGGTGGTGAGGGAGAAGGATTCAATGCCACTCTTTGATGCCGAGACTCCAGCCACGGTCAGACACACAGATGTCTTAGAGTTGGTAAGTCCAGATGCTTACGACCTTCTCAGGAAAACAAATTGAGAAAAGCCAAGTGGGAGAGAAAGGGAAGCTGGAGTCTTCCAACAGGAATGGAATTGGAATGGAATCCTACATGCATTCCAGTTTTCCCCACAACCTATATCCTATATTCTGATTGTCCCAGGACAATCTGAGTTAATCCTCCACTCCTAGTACATTAAGAGTACCCCCTTCTTGAAACACAGATCGAAACCACAATGTGATACACCAGTGAGAATGGCCCATATTAAAAAAAAAGAACAAAAAACAAAAACAAACTGGCAACAAGAAGTGCTAGTGAGGATCTGGAGAAGAAGGAACCCTCTTACACTGCTGTCAGGAGGTAAACTAGTCCAGCCACTATGTAAAGCTGTGTGGAGGACCCTCAAAACACTAAAAATGGATCTAGCATATGATCCAGTGATTCCACTTGTAGGAATCCATCCAAAAGACACAACAAGACTAATCTGAAAGGAGACATGCACTCCTTGTTTATTGTAGCACCATTTACAATAGCCAAGGTATGGAAGCAACCAAAATGTCCCCAAATAGTCAATTGGGTAAAAAAGTTGTGGTATATATATATATACAATGGAATACTATACAGCTACCAACAAAGAGATAAACCCATGCAATTTTCAGCAACATGGATGAGCTAAGCAAAATAAGTCAGAAGGAAAAAATTGATATCAAATGGCTTTGCTTAAAGGTGGGATGTAGGGAAGCTGAACTAAGAACTAGGAAAAATATGAAATTTGAGGGCAAACCATAGATCTAAGGCATACAGCAGGGGAGGAGGGGGAGCGGTCAAAGCAGGGGAAGGAAGAGCACAGTAGACTAAGGTGACAGATTACAGTGCAGTGGTAGTGGGAGAATTAGGGGGACATCTGAGTGGGCAATTAAAATATTGTACAAAATGAACAATGATGTAAGAAAAAAAAGTATTCCCCCTTTTATCTGAGAAGTGTCTTTGGGTGATAAACTTTACAGATACTTATTCTAACGGCACTTTCATGGCATAACCAGACCTCTGCACTGAGGGCTAGTGTATAAGCAGTTACTCTTGTAGAGAAGGACCCTTGATTACTGATGTTAGATCCCATGGAAAAGAGTCTGTTTGGAAGACAGCTTGTTGTCCTCTTCTAGATCATTTCACCTTCCTCAACACTTCTGAGCTTTGGCGTGTATTACCAGACTTTACTATCTCATATTAGTGCAGTCACTTCCCCCTAGGATCCTACTTCCTTGTACATGATCATTTTCTCCAGCACAACTAATCTTACTCTGATGAGCTCATCTAGTCTTAGGACTTTAAATACCATCTCAAGTCTGAACCTCTCTCTTAAGTACTAGATGTGTATACTTAACTACTTACAACATCTTTACTAGGATTACTAACTGGCTGCTGAGATTTAATTGAACCTCAAAGCCCATTCCTCTTTTGGTTTTTGCCACCATTTCAGCAAAAGGCAACTCCCTCTTCTAGTTACTCAGGACAAAGTACTTGAACTCACCTTGAATCCTCTATTCTTTCACAACTGATATTTGATTTGTCAGATACTTCTTCTATCTCTATCTTCAGGATAGATCGAGAGTCAAATCACTTCTACCTAACTCCCTGGCTGACATTCTGATTCACTTCTCCATCATGTCTTCCTGGGACAATTACAATATCTTCTTAACAATTTCTCTGTTTCTACTTTTGAGAAACTCTGCAGTTTATCAATCCAGTAACTAGTGGGATTCTGGTTAAAAGACAAGTTTGGTCATGATGATGCTCTTCTGCTCAAAACTCTGCAATAGGGGTAAAGTCAAACTCCTCATTATGACCTAGGATATTCTCTATGATCTTCCCTTCACCCTATTACCATTCTGACCTCATCAACTAACCTCTCCCTCACTCACCCTAATCTTACCCTATCAGCCTTCATGTCAGGTACACTCCTACCTTAGTGTCTACAATTTGTACCAGCTGTTCCTTTGACCTGGAAGACACTTTTCTCAGATTCCCATTTCCCTATTCTTTCTTTTTACTTCTTGGTAAGTTCATTCCTGACTAACCCATTACTATTTTGATCACCCCTACACAAATTTCATTCTCTTCTCCTGATTTAGTTTTATTCTTAGACTGTATCATTAACACACTATTACTTAAATATTTTGTTTATTGTCTGTCTCAATGAATGTAAACTCTCATGGGCAGTTTACATATGCATGTTTTGTTTATTAATGGATGTTTATCCAATGTCTAGAAAGTTGCTTGTCAAATAAATATTTGTTGACTAAATGACTCAAAACATCAGTTACAGATACCCTTGGTTTGCCTTTGGAGATTTTGCACCTTTCCAAAAAGTCCCAAAAAGTTTCAACTGAAGTGAATGGCTACAGTCTTCTAATCCAACTTCCTATTAGATGAAAGAATCTTTCATACAAATTAGGATTCAGAAGAATCCATGCTGTGCCTGACCTCTTCCCAGAAAGGGGATTTACCAGCTCACCCACCATCCTGTTGGGAAAAATTTATGGCTTAGAAAGTACAGTCTTTTATTGAACTAAAAGCCCCTTGTATTCCATGGCTCATTACCTCCTCAGGAAACACATCTTTCTGGTCTACATAGTCTACTATGGTCCCTCTGTCTTTTGTCTTCTAAGCACTAGTTTCTTTATCCCAGTTTTTCCTAGGTTGCAGTTTTCCATCTCCTTGTTACAGGGTGGCCCAGCGTGGATTTGGGCTGCCTGTCTGTGGGGCCTCACCCGTGTGCTCAAAATGTAATATTTTTTTTTGCAGGCTCCACAGAAAGGGTAATGGGTTTATTTACAAAAAGGGGAAAGGAAAAGGAAACAACCCAAGGGAGAGAGGGATACAAAGTAGCTGGAATACTTTACCAGTGGGGCTAATTTACAGCTCTAGTCCCAAATTGATGCTCCTAGCTCCAGTCACAGTCTGAGCAGTTGCTCCAGAGAGAGAGAACCGTTACCTCTCCAGAGTGTCAGTTGGAAAACCATTCCCTATTTATCCCCCAAAGTCCCAGAATGCCTGCTTAGCTCTGCCCGTAGGTCCTCGCAGTTCTCTCCTTGGTACTGCTGGGAGTTGTAGTTTTCCAATTACTGGAGTAGGGGGTGGAATCCAGAAAGCTGGAGTAGGGGTGGAGTCTACCAAATCCTGCAGAGTTCTTTTAGGATATCCTTCCCCTTAACATTCTCACCATCCTTGGCTGTCTTTCTGCGAACACAATACCCACTTAACATGAAGATCCCGCAGACTGGACCTCTGACCCCCCTTAGATGACAATGGAGTCATCACTTTCCTAGCCCTCTGGTATGTCATAAAGACAGTGTTTGATGAATGTTTGAATGGCGGTGACCTCACAGCCTGGTGGCAGGCTGTGCCTGGGTGGATGGGGGAAGGAAGGAGGAGGATGGAGAATTCTAGGGTCTGTGTCATTGTGGTTGTGATTTGTGGTGGCTAGACAAACTGGGTGGGTGAAACAGACAGGTATGCCAGAGCATGAGAATGGTTGGGAGAAACTGGAGTAACTTGGCTGGGTGTTGGTGGACACAGAGTGGTCTGAGTTCATGCAGACTCTCACAGTTTGTGTTCTGAGAGGTGTCCGAAGGTGCTCTAGGGCGTCATCTGATCACCACTTTTCCCCATTAGATCTCGACATGAAATGTCAACATGGAGAAGGTGAAGTGGGATATTTTGGTTTTGTACAGTAGAAAACCTGAAATCTAATTCTTGAGCAAGTTGCTTAGCTCGGCCCACCAGTTTTCTTCATCTATAAAACAGTAACTACCTCATGGGATTCTTTAGTATAGGCAGTGAGTGAAATTATGTGAAATTGCTTGTGTAACTTAAAGCATTATTTAAAAAGATGATATTTTGGCATTTAAAAAAAGGGTGAGGAGGATACCGGGGTAAAAACCGTTTTTAGGTCCACTCTTTAAAAGAACGTGAGGTCTTTGGCAATTCAACAGATAGCCCCTGGTCTAGAAGACCCAACTCCTGATGCCTGAGATTGAGATTGAGGCGCACCTGAAAATGGGGATGACATAGTTTTTGGGGAAGATGCCGACTCGCCCGGTGACCAAGGAGACACCTCTGAGCCAGCCATCCTGGTACTTGCCCAGGACCCTGATGCCTTCTCCCTTCTGCAGATCCAGCTCGTCGGGTCCGTGGGCTGAGTAGGAATGCTGAGCTACAAACCTGGGGAGATACAGGGGGCTGGTGAGGTACCTGGTGCAGGGAGAAGGTCAGCGCCCTAGTGGAGGACATGGGTGCAGGGAGACCAAATCCTGGGCCCATCAGCGTAGTAGTTAGCAATATATGCCTTAAAAAAACTGAAACCTCAATATATAAGGCAGATAAAAGTGGAAGAAGTTGCTACAGACAGCAGTGCAGGGGCCCAGATTCGCTTCTCCCCTTCTCCACAGAGTGCAAAATAGGTGCAAATCACTGTGGAGACCACGGTGGCATTGATAAACTGGCTTAGAATAGAGGAACACAAACTTCCACTTACAAAATAAATCAAGGAGGCCTCTCTGGTGGTGCAAGGGGTTAAGGCAGAGTACTATGAGGCTGTCTGCAGCCACTGCGGCATGAGTTTGATCCCTTGCCAGGGAGGTGACCCACATGGCGCAGCAGACCTCTCCTATTTCACCCACTTCTCTCCTCAGCAGTGTATTTCAGTAGATCTGCCTGTTCTGTTCCCCACTCTGTCTCTGGTGAATCCTCTCACTCCCAGCACCTCTGGCCTGTACCCTAGTTCCTATTTACATAAAGAAATAAAAATCTTAAAAAAACCCCCCACAAAATACATCAATGAGAAGTAATGGGGACTATAGTCAATGATACAATATTGCAAATTTGAAAGTTGATAAGAAAACATGGCAAATGGACTTATTGTGATGATCATTTCAAATTATACTTAAATGAATCACAATATTGTATACCTGAAATTAAAATAGTGTATATCATGTGTATTTCAATATTTTTTTTTTTAAAAAAGAGGGAGAGTTAACAACTGGGAGTTAGTGGCAGAGTTGGGTCTCAAACCTAGAATAATGACTCTTCCCTAGGGTGCTTTCTTATACTGCTTGAGTATCAATTCCCCAAAATGGTGACAGCCTGCACAAGCCAGGTAGTGAAGGGTGAGCACTGAAGCCTTTCTGTCAATTTCTTCTTGAGACTAAGGTCCATATCTGACCCCGGGTACAGCCCAGGAACTAGCTTAATGTTTGTGGTGAAGTCGACACTGCAGAGGGAGGCAGTGGCTAGCTGCAGCATTTAGCATATAGTGGGGTACTGCATGTGAGATGGGCGTGGAATGTGGTAAAAGTGTCCTGCTTTGAGCAGTGCCTTTCTACTCTGAAGTCCATTCAGGGGTCAGGGAGTGACATCTGGGTCTGAGTGAAGTGGGTGGAACAAGAGGAATAGTGAAGCCATGGACACGGCACCACTTGCCTGCCTAAGGACATTAAAACATAACCCCCTTTGGTTTGCCAGATTCAGGGGTTACCTTGCCTGGTGCTTACACATTAGAAAGCCTTTCTAGACCCTAAGAATTGTGAGACATTGGAACTTATTATAAAGGGGGCCGGGTGGGGGACTGTCCTCATCCACAGTCCCTCTGCACCTTGTGCTGTATTTATTTTTGTTGATTACTAAAGCAACATCTACTTATGACTCAACATTTTTTCTTTTTAAAAGATTTATTTTTATTTACTTATGCATACCAGAACTTGGATGCAGGGGGTGAGAGGATTCACCAGAGACAGAGTGGGGAGCAGAACAGGCAGATCGACGAAGTATATGGCTGAGGGGAGCAGGTGGCAAGACAGGAGAGATCTGCTGTGCCATGTGGGTCAGCTCCCTGACCATGAATCGAACTCATGCCAGAGTGGCTGGTGATAACTTGATAGCACCGAGACTTTAATCCCTGTGCTAACAAGTTTTTGGCTCCCAACAAATTTTTTTTTTAAGGAGAAAAACTATTTGTTCTTAATATTGTAGACAGAGAAAAAAAGTCAAAATTCAACATCAGTTTCCTCTATCATGCACTTACTCCCTAAAAGAAAATCCAAGCAAAACAGGGTTGGACTCAACATTTTGAATCTAAAGGAAGATGATAGAGACTGTTGAATACCCACTGTCCCTTTGGAAAAATCATGAGCCAGGACACAGCTTGCTAGTTTGTATTTTCCCTCCAACATTGCTTTGGAGGCTATAAAGTAAGGGGAGAGCTTGTCTTTTTGCAGGGATGGTTTGGGAGTGGCGATTCTCTGTGGCAGAGTGATGGCAAAGATGACCTTCTGTGCCCGGAGCAGGTGGGTGAAGGGCTGAGCTTTTTACTCACATGTTAGCTGAGAGGTGTTGCTGGGAGCTGGGCAGGCTGACGATGGCTGTGGAATGTCCTGGGGAGGCAGGCGCAGGGTGATATGTGCTGACCTACACAGAAAAGACCGTCAAGCAGAGGCAGTAACCCCAGGAGCCAGGCCCCTGGGAGAGCTGCTACAAAATCTCTGACACAGCTGAAAACTGAGAGCCGCCCAGTGCCACCCCTCCTGCGTCTGTCCTGGGGTTCATGGTTGTGGTCAGAGTAGGGTGGGGTTGCATTGGTTCGTGTCCTGCTGGGGTGGCATGCCAGGGCTACATTCCAAAGACTGCTCAGATACAGCAGAGGATGAAGCCCTGTCCAACTTTTAGTCAATAGGGCCAACTTTTAGTCAGCCAGGTTCCTGATCTGCCTGGCTCCTCCCAGTCACTCACCTCTCCCTGTGAAAAGCTACTTTCAGAAAATGATAAGACACCTAATGATGTTTGAAAACCTTAGTGCTTGCTAGGTAGTTATAAGTGTTTTACAAACATCAGCTACATTAGTGCTTAGTAAATACTAGTGCTTATTAAAGGTACCATGATCATTCCCTTTTTTGGATGGGAAACTGAGAAAAAGACAGGTTCTTCAATTAGTTTGAAACCAGGTGGTCTCATCCTGAACTATATATTTTTATGAATGACATCATTATTTTACATCCTTGTCTTTTCCCTCACAATATAAGATTTCTCCCCTCAAGTTGTACACACACACACACACACACACACACACAACCATGCTTACAAGGAGAATCTGCATTCTTTTCACTTTTTTGGATGAAAAGGAATAACGATGCTAAAGTCTCTTGGAAAGTCTTGCTTCCACCCACACTACAAAACCCTTTCTCTTTGGTTTTCACCGCCATCTTGTAGTAAAACGCATTTCAGTAAAAGCCCATCATGACTTTTTTCCTATTATCTCACACATTTTAGTTGGCCTTTGAGCAGCATGGAGGTTAGGAGCACTGAACTCTCACAGAGCAGAAAATTCACATATCAAATTTGAGCCTCCTAAAACTTAAAAAGATAGCCTGTTGCTAGTCAGAAGCTCTACTGATAACATATGTTCTCTCATGTTATATACTATAGTTTTAGAATAAAGTAAGCTTGAAGAAGGAAAATGTTATTAAAATCAAAAGGAAAATAATTTATAGTATAGTACTGTCTTACCAATATAAGTTTACATTGTGTGTTTATAAGAAAATAAACATATGTTTATAAAATATTACTCCTAATAGTCAAAAGGTGGAAAAAACCTAGTGTCTAGTGTCTGGTGACTAGTGAATGGGCAAACAAAATGTGATATGTCCATACAATGGGGTATTATCCAGCCATAAGAGGGAGCAACGTACTGATACATGCTAGGACATGGATAAACCTTGAAATATTGTGCTAAGTGAAAGAATCCAGATACCAAGGATCACATTACATAATTCCACTCTACAAAATGTCCAGAATAGGCACATTTACATAGAAATTAAGTAGTCTCCAGAGGCTGGGATCACATGGGGGTGATAATTTAAAGGTACAAGTCTTCCTTTTGATGAAGTGTTATAAACGTACAGTCAGTATATGAAATCCAAAGAACTCTACACTTTGAGTGGGTGACCATATGGAATGTGAGTTATATCTCAATAAGTTCTTAAAAATGTCATTCCACAGCCATCCATCCAAGGCTCTCTAATACTGTATAAAGTGTTCTGAGTTTTGCAATCAAGTATTGTCATATTGTCATACCAGTTCCTCAAATTGAGATGAAAAGTTTCTGGCTTTGGGCTAGGCTGATCCTTCCCTGTAACTAGCAATATAAATAAATCCCTGCTGGGTGTGCCAAGGGGAAATTTTGTGTGAATAACTCATCTAAACTTTGTAGAGAATGTTGGAGCACTGATTAAGCAGGATGAAATTTACTTAATACCCATGACTCTCCAATGTTATGTTTGAGTGAAAAGTCCTCTTATCCATAAACACTATTAACATTTATGGAGGGGGAAGGTGCCAGAATGCAGGGACACCCCTACATCACAGTAGGCTCTGCTTGCTTCTCTAGGTTTTCCTCTGCAGATGGGGATCTGGCCAGGACTGAGACAGTGGGCTTCTGATGGAGTTCTTTTTAATATGGAGTGGGAGGAAAGGCCAGATGCTCGGGTTTTGAAGAGGATAGAGAAGGGAGAAGGTGAGTAAAGAAGAAGGAGCAATGACACAGAGGAGGAGAAGGAGGAGGAGGAGATAATGGATGATTCAGAGTGGGGCAGAGAATCAGAAACTGGGATAGAGATTCAATGTGAGAAAGATAGAGCCAAGGGAGTAGTAGGAGGAAGGAAGAAGTCAAGGGAGATAAAAAATGACTGTAAGTGTCTCCCTGGTGGTGCAGGAATTAAGCCTCAGCGCTATCAAGCTATAGCAACCACTGCAGCATGAGTTTGATCCCTCACCAGGGAGGTGACCCACATGGTGCAACAGACTTCTCCTTTCTCGCCCACTGCTCCCCTTTGCAGTGTATATCAGTTGATTTGCTGTTCAATTCCCTACTCTGTCTCTGGTGAATCCTCTTACCCTCCGCACCTTTAGCTGAGACCCCAGTTCTTGTATGCATCAATAAAAATAAAATAAATCTTTTAAAAAGCAATTGAATCATATATTTAAAATGGTTGAACTCTATTGTGTGTAACTATCAGAAAAGCTATTAAAAGTAGGAACATATGGCCCTCCCTGGTGGCGCAGCGGGTTAAAGCCCAGCACTGAGAATCTAAAGCCGCTTCCGCATGAGTTCGATCCCCGCCTGCCCCGGAGGTGACCACATGGCGTGGCAGACCTCTCCTGGCCCGCCCGCTGCTCCCCTCAGCAGTGTACTTTGTCGATCTGCCTGTTCTGCTCCCCACTCTGTCTCTGGTGAAGCCTCTCGCTGCCCCTGAGCCTCTCGCCTTGTACCCCAGTTCTGTATGCACAAATAAATAAATCTTTAAAAAAAAAAAAGTAGGAACATATTATCTACCTCAGAAATAAATCTATGCTACCGTAGATTGTCCCAGCACAGGCTTTTGCTTGTGGCAGGGAAGGAGGTAGGGATGGCACTGCTTTAGGGTAGGCAAGAGTGGAAGCCTGTAGGTCAGACAGAAGCTCAATAAATAAGGCAAAACCAAACAAGAATGAATGAATGAATTGTTAGGAAAAGAGAGCAAAGCAGAAACAGGCAAAGAGAAGCTAGCAGGGAAGTGCAGTGGAACAAGATAGAAAGTTAGGCCCCACCTGGTAAATAAAGACAACCAGGTAGATGGCCAGCTTTTAAAGTCAACAGAGGAAGGAAGTCTGTTCCTGTCATGGGTTGAAGATGGGGACCGAGGTTTTCTGAGAGAACAGGTCTGGCAAGTGGTTACCTGGGGTCAACTGCCTTAACTTCTTTGCTACATGGGGTTTGAATGCAAATTCCTCCAGCAACTGGAGCTTCCTGGCATAGGATCTGGGAATCTTAGCAAGAGAGAGAGGGTGTATATTTGAGGGTGGAGGTGGATATTTCTGCTAAAAATATTTTTCCTCCTTTTTGAAGGAAATGACTCATTTAAAAGAAATCTTTATCAGCAATAAGAATCTACAGATATATGGCTTCTGGGTGTTTTCAGATCTAAAGGGGTTAGAGCCAGAGGAAGGAGGCCTGGAGCCCGGCACAGAACTGTGCTACATACTACTGGCCCCTGCTTTTCCCCCAGGAGCAAGGGGTGTAGCGAACCAGGCTCTCTCTCAGGAGTCTGGAGAAGCAAAACTAGCACTCAGGTACATGGCTCTACACTGTAGCCGTGATGTTTGGTGAATGATGGAATTCTGTGGGCCTCAATTCCCTCCTGTGTGAAATGGGGGCAATTGTGTATGAGGATCATATAAAACCATTCATGTAAATAATTTTGAACACTATAAGTGCTCAATAAGTAAACTTGTTTTGTTCTGCAGAGCGGTAAGATGTCGTAGAGGGTGAGGTTGGGGTGGGTGGAGTACTTCCTTTTATGCAATAGTTCTGAAATATCTCCAACTGAGAGCGGGATCCAAGAATGTTGGGGCGAGTGGGAACCAGCAAGCTTATTCTTCTCTTCTAGTGTTTTCCCAAGTGTACATTTGCTGTCCCCCTCCCACCCATGGTATGGCGCTTGGCTATTTCCTCCGGGGCTCATGCCTTTCAGTAATTCAGTGGATGTGGGGCGACTGCACCCTGCAACATCTTGTCATGTCTGTGATCTTGGCATTCCCAAGACTAATGAGGACCTAGAACCTACAGAGTGCTCACTCAAGCTTGGGAGAAGGGCTGCATTTTATAGAGTTGGGTAGTTTCTGTACCTATCATGATTATCTGGCCTACTTGCCTTTATAAAGTTAAAAACTCTTATATTTCAAGAGACTTAAGAGCTAGCTACCTTCAGCAACAGCAGTGTAGCGTTAAGTCCTGTAGTACCAGGCACTGGGGCAAATGCAGTGAAGAAGACTCACAGGGCACTCTCCTCAAGTGGAATTTACCGCACGCACAGGGGAGGCAGGTGACTTCATAATTATACAAGCATGGTGTGTACTGGGGAAAGGGGAGTTCAAGATGCTCTGCCAGGAGAAGCTCGTCTTGACCTCCCAGAGGTGTTTCATCTCACACCCTACAATTCCAAATGGTGTTTAGGATATACACAGGCCTCACTGTTATTAGCCTCATTCTCCCATTGAGGAAACAGATTTCAAGATTTTCTAATATCCTGGAGGTGACCAACAAATGGGCAAATTGCCACTAGAAGTAAGGATCCTAGGTTCAGATCCCATCTACAGAAAATCAAGGTTACAGTTATTTCTATGTGACTAAAAGGTTACAGTTATTTCTATGTGACTGTAATCAAGGTTACAGTTATTTCTATGTGTGTGTGTGTATGACATGTTTGTGCACAATCCTCACCCCAAGTATAGTGAAATTTAATGCTGTTTCTAGCCCCACGGATCTCTTATGGACACGATGACCAGCGTCCTTGCCCAGTGTCCCTTGCAATATGCTACAGCTCATATGGAAGGTGGAATAGTAAGTCGTTTGACTTCTCCCTCTCTTGTAGGAA